TACAAACAAACGGAGGCATTCCCGCCCATGCCGATCAACAACAGCAGCAGCAATAACAATAACAATAATCATCAACGTGAGCGCTCTGGAGACGCAGCGGAACCACCATTCATCCCTCGGTTCACGGAGCGCTCGAATCAGAACGCGGTCCACGGACGGAAGCGGAGCAACACCGGAGGTCACGTTCCGCCCCCGCTGTCTTTCCGTGGATTTTCCGGGCCAGGCAGCGTTGGACAGCACAGCTACACCAACAGCAATGCTGGCAACAGCGTTGGCACTACCGGCTCATCTGATATCTACCAGTCCCAGCCATCTCAAGGCTCGAGCAGGCAGAGTTGGGGTATGAGTACCGCCGGCTCTCAGCGGACGTCGGAAGCCTCTTCAAGACCCCCAGGTGCCAACTTCTTCGATGCCATTGGTACCGTGCGCATGGAGGCCTTCATCAGCCCATTAGCCCACTCAGGCTTTGATAGAGACCCTGATGAGTACGAGGAATACGGATACCGGGCTCGTAGGCGCAGCAAAGAGCTTCGAAGACGGCAGAGTCGTAGCCGTCACCGTGACAGCTATAGCTCTCGCGGGACGCGCGGCACAGACGGCTACCATGGTAGCAGCCGAGCGACCGTGGAAGATGACTACTTCCGAGATGACCCTTTCAAAGGCTTCTAGGTGAGAAGCCGTCAAGTCCTTTACATTGTCCCTTGTCGCGAAAGGTTCGGATTAGCCGGAGCGCGCGGGATTGCATTCATTCGATACGATACCCATTGTGTACTATTTCTCATGTGTAATCAAGGTGTGGGGTGGCGAAACAGAACTAGACCCCTGTGCCACGTTGTGGACGGAGTTGGTAGGATAAAAAGGCGATGGCTGCCGTCGGCAGGCCAGGGAGACGTCATCATACCTGGTTTGGCCAGAGGGTCGCAAGCTCTGATGGTCTCAGATGCTGTTGGGTGTGTACGATGCTGGTGAGGCTGTCAACAATGTGGTGTTGATATTACCCTTGGTAGTGTAGATAGGTCCTTCAGGACAGATGGCTAGACAATCAAAAACTGTTAAATTTAATGTTTGGTCCTGATGGTGAAGCAAGCTTGATTGTGATGGTGTGAAAACCTTAGGGGTGAGAAGGTCTGCTTCCTGGCAGCCGTTCGCCGAGCGAGCGGTGCTCGGGCGCAGTCGAATTACGGGCCGCTCTCCGGGGGGCACGCACCGACCCCGCACCGCAAGCAGCGAACTTAAACCACCACCAAGAAATTTCGCCCCTCCATTGCATTCCAAGCTTGGAGCTTCCAGTGACAACACAATTTCGAAGCTTCGCATTTTTACCCTTTCGAGACGGCCAATTCGTTTCCCACCTGGTTGGCTCAAGACCTCGTCGTCAGCGGAGCACCGGATCGAGCACCGGGTTTCTTCTGTGAATCACCTCAGACAGGACTAAATCGCGAATAACCCCCCGCCTCTGGCAAACGTCACATATCGGTTCCTGTGTCGACGGACATACCTCGCGAGACACCTCCCTCACAGAGACCATCTCATACGAACCTGCTCCGACCGAAAACGAACCGAAACCGAAGCAAACTTGAGGAAACCGGGTGCTCCACGAGGAACAGAGACGAATAAAAGCCATGGAATCCGAAACGCTGGAGCAGATGCAGACGCGCCACCGCAAGGAGCAGCGCGACCTCGTGGGCCGGATCACGAGCAAGAAGAAGAACGCGACCAAGAAGACGCGCAAGGGCGTGAATGATGAGTGCGCTGAGCTGGAGAGGCAGTTGAAGGCGAAGCATGAGGAGGAGGTGGCTGGGCTGTCTGGCGGTGGTGTCGCCGAGGAGGTTCAAGACGACGGCGACGACGAGACTGCCGAGGTTGTGGAGAAGTTGAAGGATACCACCATTTCCGAATCCGAAACGCCGGTAGAAGAAGAGAAGGAAGAGACACAGGCACAAGGGCAAGGCCAAGGCCAAGGGAAGAAGCGCAACAGACAAAAAGAACGCCTGGCGCGGCGGGCGGCCGAGGTCGAGGCCGCGGCGGAGAAGGCGCAGGAGGAGGCGAGTAATATGACGGACCACCGGGGTATCGAGAAGACGTACATGCTCAAAGAGTTCAAGGCCAACGGGCTCGAGGAGAAGGAGATTGCGCCGGACGGGCATTGTTTGTTTTCTGCTGTGGCGGATCAGTTACGGCAGCAGGGTATTCCGCTCTCCGCTAGCGCTGAAGACGCGAGTAGTGGCGGTGACCCGACGCAGAAGCTCCCGTATAAGGTTGTGAGGAGGGCGGCGGCGGAGTACATGGTGTCCCACCCGGACGACTTTGCGCCGTTTCTGGAGGAAGGGTTGGAGGGGTACGTGAGGCGGATCCGGGATACGGCGGAGTGGGGTGGGCAGCTTGAGCTTGCGGCGCTGGCTAGCGTGTATGGGGTTGAGATTCGGGTTGTGCAGGATGGGAGGACGGAGAGGATTGGGCCGGCGGCGAGTGGTGGTGAGAGTGAGGAGAAGAAGGAGATTTGGTTGGCGTATTATCGACATGGGTACGGGCTTGGTGAGCATTATAATTCCTTGCGAAAGACGACGGCGTGAGGGGTGTCGTAGTTCGATTAGAGGGTGGAGGGTATGGAGAAGACTGTATTCTCAAATTTTGTGTACATGGAGTTTTGGGCATTGCATGGCACAGGCATACATCATTGACCGAACAGAGAAAACTATCTATAACCAGAATTATGTGCCGTCATGGTTGTCAGTGACTCCAGACATGAATCCAATCGCGAACTGAGCCATCCTCATTCATACCAGCGCGATGCGTCCTACTAGGCTTGACGAGCGCCAACCGCTTCAGACCGGCGGTGCCTTCCCCGCCATCCTCGTTCGCGGCCGGGGGAACGACAACGACGTCGGCCTCGTCGCCTGCCAGCGTCGAAGACGAGAACTCGAGGGGTTGGCCGGGGCGGGTGAGCAGGGCGAGATAGATATCCGGGTTCAGGCCCCACGGCGGGCCCGGCTGGGAAAGAGGTTTGCCGGACGGAAATTCGAGGCAGATGAGGCGGCCGGTGGCGGGGTTCAGGAGAGAGGATATGCGGGCTGACCATTGGGGGCGGGCTGTTGGGGGAAGGGCGCAGAGGAACTTTGGATGGTTATTAGCTTCTTTTTTCTCATGTTGTAATTCCTCTTGGCCATTCCCTTTGAAAGCCACTGAGAAGAGTGAGACTTACAGTGTAATCAAAGATGAGGTCAAACGTCTTGTCCTCGCGGGGCCAGGCCTCGAGCCACGAGTCGGAGAAGAAGTCGCCCGAGAGCCACGTCACGGAACCCGGTTCGGCGCCGTTTGTCTGGCGTATGGAGTTCACGTCCGGTCCTGCTCCGTCTCCGTTACCGTCCCCGGCCGCCGCCGCAGCAACTACAGCCTTTTGATTCTCCTTTGCCTCGGCGATGGCCGTGGGCGAAAAGTCGAGGCCGAGGACGTCGTAGCCTAGGTTTGCTAGGAGGAGGGCGTCGTGGCCTTTACCACATCCGGGAACGAGGGCCGTGTGCTTCCGCTGCTGTTGTCCTGCGGGCGATGAGGCGGTGGGAGGAGGAGGTGGGATGAGGTCCGGACGGGTGGTGATGATGTCCAGTAAGGCTAGGGAGGGCCCGCCGCGGTCCCAGGGGGTGAATTTCTCTTCCCAGAAGGCGGACCATTTCTGGCCGTGGTTTGCGAGGGGTGTGTTCGCGAAAGCCGTGGATAGCTTGTTTGGGTCGGTTGCCATGATGGGCTGGTTGCTTATACTCGGAGTTGTGAAGGGAGTATGATGGGGGACTTGATGTTGGGGCTGGGCGGTGCTTTGTTAAAGTATCTGGTGAATTGTCTTGACAGAATTGTGAGATTTAAGCGGGTTTCTGAGAATAATTCAAACAACGATTGGTATATTAAGTGGTTGGTAATCCAGTAGTATGAAACAGAATGAAAGTCGCCAGATGAGAATGAAGTCATGAATCTAGGTAGACCGGAACTAACGAGGTCAATCTAGTCCCCGAGGACCCCGCGCTGTACTCCGTATTGTGGATGTGGCGCAAATGCCCCGCGCTGGAGAACGGCGACGTTGATCCCTGTCGCTGCCAGGGACGCATCCCGAATGTCTGGGATAATACCTCACCTAACCCAAGCTTACCAAGCCATTTTCAACCATATGACTTCCGACTGCAAGGCGACGGATGTGCTTGTGTCGTGTTTCTTCTCTCAGCTGCATGTCCTGACGTTTCGGCGTAGGTATGGAAATTGGGTGAATACCGCCATTGTGAGAGATGGGTGGTTACACAGCTTTGCTAGATTTGCTGCGTTTGAGAATGGCGACTCATCGTGAGTCGAAAATGGCTGTTGATTTTGTGTGATGTGAAGCAGAGCGTATAGGTGAGGTTTTGAACATTGGGAGAAGGGTCTTGGTAAGAAATTGAGGAGGACTCATCAACCGAGTCAATGCCGAGTGTAGATACAGTCGGTCATTCACTCTACCTTGACCAATTCGTTGAATGCTCGATAGAATGTTCCTGACGATTCCAGAGTTCATGAGTGATTTATGAACAACCGTGGTTCTGGCATGTTGGTATACGGCTCTAATATTACCCGCGGGAAAAGTAGATGTGCGTGGTCATTTCACCGATAATCTCAGTGGCCCGGCGAGCCTTTTCGGAGACAACCGCCGAATCCCACGACTCAAGCGGGGTCGCCCCCGTCCGGAGGGCGTCAGGTAACCGCCCACGCCGCCTACCACAACCAAAGCCCCGATCCCGGCGTCGGAAGTCCCTATGACTTTGCCGCTCACGCCCTCGCGACACGTCTCATCTCAATCTCAATCTCAAATATCTCACTTCATAAGACGCCCGCCAAAGCTCTGGCGTTCTGCTCTCCGTTGCCTCATTTCTTCTACTTGAGGCTTTCGGCATTTTCGCCACCACACTACTTACCTACTTGAGGTGTACACACACGTAGCAAAAGCAGAACCGTTCATCGTGAGCAGAACAAATCCGAGAGCCATGGCCGACCTATCAACCTGCCTACCCCTAACCCGGGCCTCCGTCGTCGAAGCCCACAAGCTCGTCAAGCCGCACGTCCACTACACCCCCGTCCTCACCAACAAGACCCTCACGGCGTTGGCATCGACGCCGCGGACACCCGAAGACCTCAAGGGCACGAAATGGGAGGGGCGCACGCCGGCCAAGCCCGTGCTCCGGCTGTGGTTCAAGTGCGAGAACCTGCAGCGCATCGGTGCCTTCAAGGTCCGCGGTGCCTTTCACGCCGTGGAGAGGTTGAAGCAGGAGCCTGGGTGGGCTGAGGGCGGCGGTAAAGAGAAGGGTGTTGTTACGCATAGCTCGGGTATGGATACATCTCTATTTTCCTGCTCAGTGAACAAACCAAAAAGAGAACTATCTGAATGTGTATTTCTTGATCTCCGTAGAATGTACTGATAACACCACTAGGAAACCACGCTCAAGCACTAGCTCTCGCCGCCAGAGAAAGCGGCATCCCAGCACACATCGTCATGCCGGACATCTCCCCGCCCAACAAGATCGCCGCGACGCGCGGCTACGGCGCCAACGTAGTCTTCAGCGGCAGCACCAGCGTCGAGCGCGAGGCCGTCGCCGACCGCGTCATCTCCGAGACGGGCGCCCGCCTCGTGCCGCCCTACGACCACCCGGACATTATGCTGGGCCAAGGGACGATGGGCCTCGAGTTGCAGGAGCAGGTCCGCGATCTCCTGGCCGCGGGCCACTCTGCAGAGAACCCGACGTTCAACTCCACGGGCCTTCCCGTGGCTGCTGTATCCAATGGTGATGACGGAGAGAAGAAGGAGAAGAGGGGTCTGAATGCGATCATGACCCCTTGCGGAGGCGGCGGCATGCTCTCCGGCGTAGCGCTGAGCTGCGAGGGGACGGGGATCAGGGTGTTCGGCGCGGAACCCGAGTTCCAGGGCGCCGACGACTGCAAGCGCGGCTTCGAGAGTGGGAAACGCGTCGAGAGTGTAAAGACGCTGACGGTCGCCGACGGCCTGCGGACGCCCGTGGGCAAGCACCCGTGGTCCGTCATCTACGAGCGCCGGCTGGTGGATAATATGTACAGCGTGTCCGAGGAGGAAATCAAGGCGGCGACGAAGCTCGTCTTTGAGCGGTTCAAGCTCGTGGTCGAGCCGAGCGGTGCGGTGCCGCTTGCGGTGGCGCTGTTTAATGAGGATTTCAGAGCCATGGTGGAGAGGGAGGCTGGTGAGACGGGGTGGGATTTGGGATTGGTTTTCAGTGGTGGGAATATGGCGCTGGAGGGGCTCATGAAGATTTTCGCGGCGTGATATACCTGGAGGTTGTTTGAGTAGAGGTTGGTTTGGTAGAGGTGTGTTCAGGATCCCGTTTCAACTTTTTCGCCCACGAACATTACCGAGGCCGGAAACGAGGTACAATAGACGCCTTGGACCTAGCTTAGTCTTTTCTTGACGGGGAAGAAAAAAAGGCCAGGAAAATTGAGAGCCACGAAAGGTCCCACACTCCAAGACCATGGAAGGTAAGTTTGAATCCCTTTAGACAAGCAATCGGTGTCTGTCTCGGGCAGAACATACATTACTTTGAACGTGACTATGGGAAACGGCGTACTATAACACTGCTCGAGACTTCCAAAGAGTTCCAAAATCCACCATCCACTCTGTGTGGTACCTTGCCCTTTGGCTATGCCTTGACATCTTCTTACAGAATAACAACCAACCTCTCCTCCCAAAGCATGGGTCAATGGGATAGAAATCATTCTTAATTTGTTGATTCTTTAATAGTCTGATTGAAGCAGTTGTGACAAACTTCCTCTTATAACTCCCCAACCTAACCCCCGACTCTACCTCACTAAAATCAGAGTCTGTACGTCTCCAAAAACACATACGCTTTGCAATTCCACAAATCGCTTGCCATCCAACCCTCTCACCCCCTTACGCTGAGCCCCTCATCCTTGCCTACGCCCGCCGGTGCTCATCAGCGTAATCTTCTGCTTCTTCTTCTTTCCCTTACCAGCTCCTCCTGATCCACCGCCGCCATTGTTGCTGCTGCCACCGGCCCCAAATGCGGCACTACTGCTAGAGGGACCGGGCTCAGTCACACCCAAAGCCTCCATCTGGAAAGAAAGCTCTTGAGGTCCCCACAAGTCTTCATCCTTGAGCCACCCGTCGTCAAGTTGACGCATTGAAGCCGGGGCAAGCTCTGGGGACCCAGGTACGACAGAAGTGCCCCAAACGGTTTTCTGCGTGGATGGACTTGTAGAAATGGTTGCAAGATGCTCGAATCCCGGTCGTGGATCGGGCGGCGTAGCGTTGGCGTGGCTCGATAGGGGCTGGAACTCTTCCAAGTTCAACGCAGGAACGTGATCCTCTTCGACCGGTCCATAATCTCGTCGCATAGCCGCGGTACTCTTGAACTGGGCAGCCTCAATCCTTTCGGACTGAAGCCTCTCGCGTTCTTCCTGTACGGCCTTGTCACGATTCCGCTTTCTCCGCCGGCCAATCTCATCAGCGAACTTTTCGAGGACATCCGCCGACACAATGTCTGTCCAATCGCATTCCAAGAAACTGATTCGGCAACCATACGGAAGATGACCCAAATACTTGGCCCGCTTTCTCTGCACCTCGTCTAGAACATGGCCTGTCGAAATGTGCTCGACGCGAGGCAACAACGTGGATGGAAATGCAGAGAAGTCGCCATATTTCGTCTTGAGAATACGAATATCGAGAGCTGATAGGTAGAGATGCGGCTGTGATGAGTAGAAGTAGAAGTCAGGTTGAACGGTCTTGTTCTGGTTGCCCAGCTTCTTATTTGGCAGCATGGAGTCGTTCCTGCCGAGGTCTTGGACCTTCTCCTTCGCCGCATCAATGGCCCGGATCGCCTTCTTGGTCCATTCATCGTCGTCGTGGTAAAGAAGTTGATCCTCGGTTCCCTGTTTCCGCAGCGCCTCAATCTCTTCGTTGAATTGCTCCAACATGTAGTCTCCAGTTCCCTTCATGATCCTGGCATAATCCAGAACATTGGCTGCAAAGTGCCAGGGCACGTCGTCCGACACATTGAGCGCGTCAGAGCCATTTTCCCAGGGCAATGCGAGGGTTGACTTGGCTGTCCGGGCCATGAGACGTAGGACAACGTCATCGCCAACTCGCGGCAGAGGGCTCTCCTGGCCCGCATAGAAACGCACAGGCCGCGTCTCGTGAAGGTAGACGCTGTCTTCGCAGAGCGGACATTTCTTCCACCTTGCACCTTTTCCATGCTTCGAGTCCTCATCTGTCGAGTTCATAAACCGAATCAGACATGGAAGGCAGAAAATGTGACCGCACTTTGCCATTCGTGGCGCCACCGGCTCGGACAGACAGATCGGGCAACTAGCCCCCTGCGATTCGGATGAGGCCAAAATCTGCAGGACGTTGTTCCAATCGATATGAACATCGGCGTCAGCCGCTTGGCTGGCGTAATTGCCTTCCGGTGAGACGACAAATCTGTAATTCGCATGCACGTATCTCGCCTTGTCTACGGCATGGTGTCCCGAGCCAGGTCCCCAAGTCGGATTCCGTCTATAATTCCGAGCATAAGAATGATGATCCGCGTAAGCAGTCGGCGGACGGCTGTAGTTCAGAAGGTGTGTAATTGAGGTTTGACCTCGTCGACTGTTGGCATTCCCTATAGCCCGTATCTCGGCCATAGCATCGTCATCGTCTGGGTTCGCGTGTCTGGCGTCGCCAAGTCCCGGTCTTCGCTGCATTTTGTGTTGCTTCCGAGAGCCCTGACCCTTCCGGGGGGTTGCGTGTGGGAATGAAGGACTGGGTTGGGAGGGCCGGCGGTTGGATTCGAAACTCGCGGTGACGGGACCAGGCTGGATCGAAGGCGAATGGGAAGTCGATGCTGAAAGGGACTTGCCCAAGTTTGACGAAGTCGAGCTCATATTCGGGTACCCGGATATCGTAAGGGAACGTGACGCAATAGCTTGTCTGCTGGCGGAAGCTTTGATCGATTCGATCAGCCCCCTGTGGCCAATGTCGTGATGCAATGCGGCGCGAGCGAAGGGAACGAAAGGACGGATCGGAGGTTGCCACTGCAGGCCAACTGACCCAAGGCTATCTGAACAAAAACAAGTATATCGAGGAGGAGAGAGGCAAAAGAAATTTGAACGCTTCGGCTGAGGTGCTATGGTTGGATGAATGAAGATGTTGAATGTAGAAGAAGACGGGGTCCAAAGTGGACGGACCCCATTAGTGACGGGTGGGGATCAGGTAATCGGATGTCGAGAGGATGCCGCAGCTGTGGCAGTAGCAGTAGCAGTGCGTAGAGTCATTGGCGGGGCAAATCGAAGTTGCCGTGACGCTCTTGAGGGAAAGCTCGGCACCCGGAAGTACGTACTGGGTTGTCCGAACGGCTGGAATCATCACGTGACTCGGTCGGTCGCCTCCGTCGGTGCCAGTCACGACTCCAGGTCTCTTGCGTGCATCGATTGAGTTGTTTCGTTTGACGTGCAGTACACCTGTGCCTGGCACCTGACGCATTGGCTTGACGCGACGAATCAAAACGGCGTGTCAAGTCACAAGTTACTCCATTGGACTTTACTATGGTAGGCACTTATTAATCTCTCTTCTGTGGTAACGACTTCATCCATAACGTCAGTCAGCAGGAGAAGATAGCCTACCCAAGTCACATGCCTCACCAGTAGTCAGTCACCAGTGTTCAGTACCTCATTGTATTGGCTCAATTGATCATATGCAAATTAGGCTCGAACGAGGTATTATGGTACAGGATAATCCGATGCAGATGAGCCGTGTGAAGTACCAACAAAAGGAGCAAAACTGAAAGAGGCGGCAGCCCACATCACCCTCAATTAATTCTAGAGGCCAACAGAAATGGCCGTACTTCCAACCTCGTCGACATACAGCTGCCATGCCTCATTCTACCTCTCGAGCTCTTGCACATGCAAAGTGGACCAGGGGAATCATAGAAACGACAAACAACCCAAATACGCAGCACCCGACAAGAAAATCCACAAGAGCCGAGGCGAAAGACGATGCCTCCCATCCACATACATCCTAACGGCGAACATCATCATCATTATGCCGCTTATTTGCTGTGCACCTTGGCCTTGAGCTTGCCGATGAAGGCACTCAGGCGGTTCTTCTTCTTCTTCTCGGTGCCCGAAGGGCTTTCGGTGGCCTTTGTATTGCTCGGTGTCGTTGACTCGGGAACGGAGGACGGGGCCTTGGCAGGGGTGGTGGGAACTTCGGGCTCCTTGGTGGAGGTGAGGCTGGCGCCGTTGGCACCGTTGGCGGTTGCGTGAACACCGTTGGCACCGTTAGCCTCCTTTGTAGAGTCATCCTTGGTGACAGCAGCCTTAACCTCCTCCTTAGCGAGCTTAGCCTCCTCCTTGACGGCCTCAGTCTTGGTCTTCTCGCCCTCCTTGACTTCTTCCTTGGTCTCCTTGACCTCCTCCTTGGCAGCCTCAACCTTGGGCTTCTCGGCCTCGACCTTGGTCTCCTCACCGACGGCGGGGATAGGCTTGACCTCCTTGAGGAGCTCAGCCTCGACCTCCTTCTTCTCGATGACAGCCTCGGTGTTGGCGGCAGCCTCGGGGCTCTTGCCGGCCTCGGCGATAGACTCCTTAACGACGGTGGGAACCTCGGGAGCGACCTCCTCACGGGTCTCCTCCTTGGTCTGACCGCCGATGGCCTCCTGAACGCTCACAGGCAGGCTCTCCTTGACGGGCTCGGGGAGCTGAGCAGCGGCGTCAGTGGCGGCAACGGTAGCCTGCTCAACGTGAGGAGCAGCAGCCTCGACGACAGTGTCCTTGGCGTTGATGGCGGCGGCAGCGGCGAGACCACCAATAGTGGCAGCGGTGGCAACGACGACGCCAGCGGCCTCAGTCTTCTGAGTGCCGAATCCGGCGGTGCCCTCAGAAGCCGAGGGAGCGGTGGGGACCTTCTCGAGGAGCTCGTTCTCAACAACGGCTTTCTCCTGGACGGCCTCGGGGTTTGCGCTGGCCTCAGGCTCGGCGTGGGCCTTCTCTTGGCTCTCCTTGACAATTTCGGGAACCTCGGCAGTCTTGGTCTCGAGAGGAACCTCGGCGGCCAGAGCAGCGGTGGTGGATGTGGGCGCGGCGCTGTTGATGGTGACATCCGCGGTCGCAATGGGCAAGCTGGACTCGGGGATCGTGTTGCTGGTAACCTCAGGGACGGTGGTCTCCTCCTTGGAGAGGCCGGGCAGAGCGCTAGAGTCCTCGTAACCCTCCTTGTCAAGCTTGACGTGCTCGTTGATATCGCCAGCCTTGACAGACGCGGGAAGGGGTTCGCCAGGTGCGACGGTTACGGGCTCAGCGGTAACATCTTGGGCGGGGATAGGGTTCACACCAATGAACTTGTCAAGCTCGTTGGCGGGGGTGACGGGGAAGCCGCCGGGAATGTCGGAGGGGGTAGCCTGGGGGAGCTCCTCCTTGTTCTCGAGAGGCACGTCCTTAGCCAAGGCGGCGGTGGTAGATTCGGGAGTAACAGTGTTCATGACTGCGGCGGTGGTATCCTCCTTAACGATTTGATCGGGGGTGAGAAAGTTGTTTACGTTGCCCTCGTGATCAGGTTCTTGAGGGGCAGTGTGGTCTGTGATCCAGTTGTTGTCGACGACAAACTATAGATGGGGGAGAGAAAGCAAGTCAGTAAAAATTGTCAACAATGACGATGTTTTTAAGCGAAATCCGGTGGGCAGCACAGCGGTGGTATAATGGGTCCCTTGGGGGGCAGATATGACGACGCGCGGCGAACCAAATGTGGGAGATCAGCTGGGAGCGCGATCTGGGTGTCCCCGATGGTTATAAAGGCCAGGTGAGGAAAGATAGCCCGTATCCGCCAGAACAAGAATCCAGGCAAATTGGAAGGCGGTGGTTCCTGGCGCTTTGCGCTGCCGCTTGTTCCTTGGCCGCGGGCATGGCTGTTGGTTCCTAGCCTGGGCTGGCACGGCTGGGTGGTGGTGACCTTGGTGGTGCTTGTCCTTGTGTACCCTGGGTGCCTTGGGGTGTATCCAGGTGAGTGTGCCGTGTTTGGTGGCACCTAGTCTGGAAGGCTAGCCCCGAAGTTGCTAGACATTTTGGCACATTGTTGTGTGATGAAAGGTGCCATGGTCCTTGGTGGCTGCTGGTGCTGGATCCTGCCGCTCTCTGGTGTCTCTCTTCTTTCTTGCGTCGCAATTTGCGAAAAGGCCACACGCAGCTGCGAACGCGACCATGCTCGCATGGGGGACCCTGGTCAAGATTGACGCTCTTTTCGCTCCCCACAGAATACAAAAGGAGCAATGAACCTGGAAAACCTTGTTCATTGCTTTTTTGGACCGGTGGAAAAGCGGAGCCCCCAACCCGCCGCTCTGCTCGGGATCCGCCAGCCAATCTTGCCAATTGCCCACCTGGAGCCACCGTCAAGCGTCAAGACTCAAGGCAACCACGCCGCTGCTGTGCTTCTGCCGCAGTAAGCTGCTGCAAGAACTGGTGGGTTTGCGTCATTCGGAGCCGGGATAGTCGGCCAGCAACAACCAGCCTCCGAGACCCGCGTATGACTCTTCTTTTTTTTTCTCCAATTTACCCATTACAGCCATGTGCAGCTCCAGTCTGGGATATGTTTTGCAGCCCCGATTGCGCAGGCAATACGCCGGGGAAAAGCAGACAGAGCAGAAAACCCCAACGGGAAAGCAGCGGCGTTAGCGCGAAATAAGCCGACAACACAATGTGGCCGTAGGGGCAATAGTGAGAAGAGTCGAGAGAAGACCGAAAAAGACCCCAGCAGAATTTGTGTGGCTCAGCGGAGCGCGAAGCAAATTGCGTGAGGGCCAGGGGCCTGGACACGCCAAATTGCGAGATGGTGATAAAAGCCCGATCCTATGACGAGCCGCAACCGAGCTGTGTGGCCTGCAGCTGACGGGGAAGCTGGAACTAGAGCTGCCCTGGAGCTGGGGAGAAGCTTCCACCAGTAAATGGCCTGGCAGCCCAGCCCTTCCCTTCTTCCCCCTCCAAGACGGGGGAACAGCGATTGCGATTGATGGGACAAGGGACCTGGATGGGCGCACGGATGCTGTCGCGGGCTGAGCGATGCGGCGTTGCTGCTTTCGATCGGAGCCCTTGTTCGCGGTCTCATCCAACCCTCTATCGACTCCGCCGCCTGTGCTGCTGGTACTGCTGTCGTCGCTGCCCCTCCAGCTTCGAGAGGGTTCCCAACAGTTGCGCGCCGTGATAAGGGATTCCGGAGTTGCCGTCGTGTTCGAAAAATCCGGGTGGGATGGACCAATAGTTACGGGTACAAGAGAAAGCGCCTGAATTGGCTGGTACGAACCTTATAGTAGATCTTTTCCGATGCGTCGGCGAGTGTGACGGTCTTCTCGAAAGAGCTGCCGACCTTTTCCAACTTCTCGCTCTTAGTCCAGTTGTCGAAAGTGCCGGTAACGTAGACCTCCTCGGCCGGATGAGCCCTATAGTGGGACGCAAAGGTTAGCAAGGTTTTTGATCCAACTGGGAGGCTTGCTTTTTCGCTGGAGACGATGCGAACGGTGCCAATGGTGGTGAGGTCGCCGCGGACGGGGCCTAAGGACCATGTGAAAGAAAGTTTGCATTCCACATGTCCTTTGACGAAAGCATGCAAGCCAACCGCCGTTTCCAAGCGCCGGACGGTAGAGAAGCAATGCAAGGAGGGGCATTGGGATTCCGTCGCATTCCAGTAGTGATTTCCATGTAAGGGTATTGAGACTCAGAGTCTAGAGAGAGATGGGCTGGCGGGGAGGGGGAAATGCGGGCGGAGTCGATGAGCATACCAGGTAAACTTGTAAGTGCCCATTGTGATGGATGTGAGGGCTGCTTCTTTTCGAAAGAGGGGCAATTAGAATTACTCGGTTCGGAGCGAGTGCCTCGTCGTCGGCAGGAACAATGTGAAAGAAAGGGCAGGTGAGGATTCGAGATTCGAACAACAGGAAGAAGGTAGGAAGGAGAGGTTTGTTGGAAAAAAAGAGGAAGAAAAAGATGAGAGACGAGAATTGAGCGGCGGGAACCCCCAAAAATTATTGCGCGCGAGTGGCAGAGAAATAATTGCTGGGGTCGGGGGTGTGGGAAGGTGGGCGGCGCAAAAGTCGTCCGTCGTCTACGCACCTCAGTGTAAGAGGAGTGGTACACTACCTGAGGTGTGTAATCACTGGTGTGTGTGTGTGTGTGTGACTACCTCTGAAGTGTGAGGTGTATTGGTCTGAAGGTGGTTGCTGGCGCAGATGGTCCCGGCCCAATTTGACTTGACCTGAACTGACGGTGACGGGACCGTCCCTGGTTCGGCGACGCCAGCGTCCAACGTCGCGCTGGGCTGGGCTGCGATGTGCTCCAAGCAAGCTGGGCTGAGTGTACATAGTGAGTCGGGTGTGTGTGAGGTGCGTGGAATCTGCGGACCGTGGACGGCGGTCTGGACGCAGTGAACGAACGGTCTGAGGTGGTCCAGTCTGCAACCTTGAACTCCGTCTGCGCGCAGGCTTGGGCGCGGGCTCCACCATCAGACGTCCGCGGTGCAGTGTGAGTGTGCTTGCTCATCAGCGGTGTGTCTCTGAATTATGACGACAACCGCATCGGTCTAGGCGCTTACACCTAGTCCAACGGCCCAACGATGCCAATGATGTAGGCCGGTGTGTTAGTCCCTTTTTGCTTGTCGGTCAGTCGGTGAGTGAGAGTGGGCGAGCATTCATTCCCTGGGTTCTTCAACAATTCATGTCTCTGGATGATGTTCTCTCCCGAGAGAGTCATCGTCCACCACCGTACTTCAGTCAAGACATGGACTTTTTTACAGCTCATGTCTCTGAACGAACAGACAATTGGCATTGGGTTCAAAGCGAACCGTAACATGTGACTTGAGCTTTAATGACATGTCCCGAAATATCCCAAGAGTTCCGAGGGCCCGACTACGTTAGTCTCAAGGAAGGGTCGAGAAGGTGAGGCTTTGCCGTCACAGCGTCGCAGTGTCACAGAATGGGACAAGCGCAGCAGCACCTTCCCTCCTCAGCGAACTCTGAATCAGCAAGGACCAGCCAGACATTGTATGAATTGTCATCGGAAGGAACACCCAGAGTAAGATACTCAGTCGTACCTGCCTGCCGACCTCAAGATAAGGTACCTTACGTACTTTATCAGGCAATCACGTACTTACCCTCATTTTTCATGAGAGGCAAGAATTACGATCCGCTCGTGCTACCCACGTTCCTTGCTGCACCCTCTGCGGAGTACTGTACATATTGACAAGAACTTTGGGGAAACATACGAGGTTAATGGAAGCAGGTGAGCCTGAAGAACCCCCGCTATGACTGCACCTCACCCCATGTATGTGAACCCAAAGATCTCAAGTGACTCCCAGCGATGTCGCATCCATCCACAACCACCTCTCCTTGATCCACTCGACGCCAGCAAACCAACACCAAATGCATGATCGCGATTCACAACAAGCACCGACAAAGACCACCTCTAGCAAGATCTGCAAACTGCAAACTCCTCAACGCCCAGCCTCCTCTTTCTTCTCCTCCTCGAAACATCCCCTGCGCTTCACACTGCCTCCTCATAGTCTTCACCGTTTCTTGCTTGGCCTTACCTCGCCTCGCCTCGCCTCGCGTTACCGCACCTCACCCTACCTTACCGCCGTACCTGAGCTATACCCTGTGCTAACGCAGACGCGACAGGCCAGAAATATCTCCGTCTGGTGTGTGCTTCAGACGTGGGATGAAGCTAGGCTTGCAACTAATTTCGAATACCACCTACTATTCCGACACTACCGCACCATACACTCCCAGATACGACACGCCAGCATCGTTCTCGCCGTGTTTGTGGAGCCGCCCATTCTTTGCAACTTGCCCGAGCCGCTTCCTCTCTGAATCGAGTACCTCTTTACTCAGGGGGCATTGCACCTAGAGTCTTCTCGTTTCCTTGCCAGCTTTTCTTTGCAACCCTTCTACGCCCCGGTGCCACCAAGGGTTTGGTTTCCACACCGAGTTCAACGCCGATGCGACACTGGGAACTCTACGTCGGACGTGCATGGTCGGAATCCTGTGCACCCAGGCCAGCCTCCAACCTCCCCTCACCGGGCGGGTCCTTTGGTGCACCTTAAACCTCGCCAATTGCTTCCCTTCTTACCTTATCTCTAGCTTCAATGCTGGGCTGCAAGAATTCTCTTATGACAAGCCACGGCAATCCGGCCTGAACATTGTCTTCGACCAAACAGTCGCGCCAATTGCAGACAATATGATCTGACTCCGAAGAATCGCCCCTTTCCCCTGAATTATCCAGCCACCCAGCCACCCCCGGAGGCACTTCACCTGCCATCTCTCAACTAGTATAGACTTTGCCCAAATTATCACTATCCCGCGCGCTCCTGGCACCAATCCAGCCACCGCGCCAGCGCCATGCCTAACTATGTTGCTGCCGTCAGCCGCTGCAGCTACTTCTCTGACACGGTGGTCCGAACCCCTACGCCTTGGAACTGCTGACGCAGCAGACGAGACCTCCGAGGCGAACCTATGGTGTTCCAATCGCTTCCATTCCCTCACGAGCTGTAACGGTCCAGGTCCCCTTATACTTACATCATACTGCTTGCGGGTTCCAGCACACTTGGAGTCGTCTGTTGCTGCCGCCCATTCAACGCCTCGTACTTCACCAGAGTATATTAGCCCGCACGAATTTAACCAACTGCGCAGTGTAAACCTCTATAACGTTGCTCTTATTGCAAATCGCGAGTAAGCATCCACACGGCACTGTTAATTCCCGCTCTCGATTTCACAATCGAATCGAATCTCCCAAGATCTTACCGCGCCAGGAAATTGCGGGGAAGAAAGGGTGGAAGCTCCAGACTCAGACAGGGACGGTTCCCGAACTGAGACAACCCTAGGCCCCTCGCCATAGATTGATGTTCGATCACGCGCCCAATCTTCTCCATAGCCTCAACCACGGACGACGATGACCTGCTTTGCCCCCACTCACAAATTTCTTTCCCGCGTGGGAAATGCCCCAAAACCGCTGCGATAACTGAGCAGATCGCAGGACGCAAGTTTCGGCAATTGCACCACAGTAGAGGCTGCATTCGGGGCCCGGTTGAATCTCGGTGATATGATGAAGATCGACTCGCCCAGCACACCCTTGCCAACTGCCCGCGTTCGTCACCTCGGGTGTTCAACCGATGTCGCAACATGAACAAACCCAAAGAGGACTGCTCCTGGTGGCACGTTCCCATGGGTTTCCCCGACCTGTCCGCCATACCAAGGTATTGTCAGCACGTTGGAAGAAGTCAGACTTCTCGAAACTTGCAAACGTCCGCCACGCCTTCGCGAAACTGCGTGGGCCAGGCCCCTCGAGGTTTCATCAACGTGTGATTTCGTTCTCTTTACGACGGTTTCGCTCTCAGGGGGTGGTTGAGGCGAACAGGTCTCCATTCTCCAGAGTTTAAAAGTCAAGAACTCGACGTCAGAGCTCCCGCACGTGTCAATCATCAGATGCAACCTCGTTTCGTTTCGAGCCTCTCGTGCGTTGCATCGTTCCACCCAGAGGCACGTATTTTAGATGGTCGATGCTTGCTTTTTTGCTTAGCTTATACTGTACGCTTTTTGCCTGCCGAGAGTAGCCGTTCCAGTAGTGTTCGTGCGTTGATGTACAAGATTACAAGCAAGTTCTTGACGGCTTGCCTGTGACTCCGCTCAAGGTCAGAGTCATTGACTGCCTTGTGGGTTGTTCACCATGCATCGCGAATACACAATAGTAACATGGTAAATTTACTCGAATAGGATACTCGTCGGAATGCGTGGAGTTCAGCTTTGAGACGGAGAACTGCACGCAGAAGTTTGCATCTATCGATGGCACCGCTCAGATCTTGTTGACGAATTTATCGATTACAGTCTTGCCCAACTTGGCTTGGGTTCACTACTGTTCTAGCAAACGAAACTAGATAAAATCAGCTCGGAATCATTTCCAGCTACCAGAAGGAGTACCACTCAAGTGTGTGACTTAGCCATTACGCAGACCTCATTTGTTCGCGCCGTCATTATAGACTGCATATGGTATCTGGATTGGATCGAATGAGGTGATTACTCCTATGGCAACCTTGATCCATATCTGTCCTGCCTCCTCCCTAGTATGTATACGTGGATATGTCACGGAGAGAATGGCTTTCAGCTAAACAGTCGGATATGAGACGAGATGGTAGCGGGTTGAATCTCTGCCGTCTTCATCCACGTGATAATGCCTTCTCAAAGATGAAGCAACGTCCTCGCTGTGGTGATAAAAGGTTTCCAGTCTCAGGCAGTGCGGTGCTTGATAAGGGCAATAATTGGGCTGGTCATATCGGCCTCGCCACTCGATACTGCGCAGCTCATCTCGTCTCCGAGATTTTCGTTAAGGGCAGACGTCGTGAGAAGCGTGGCCGGATGCATCATAGAAGATTATATCAGGAACGCGTTATTCACTTGG